TCTGATTCCAACTCTTATCCTGATCGATCTTACATTTTGAAATTTACTAAGCGTTCACAAATGACGGACCACTGTTGCGTTTCATTCACCCAGTTTCTCTTTTCAGTGAGTTTTAATCGCTTATAGGCTTTATGAGACAGGATAGATTAAAGAACTGGCATTTTTAGTTATTGGAATGCATCGTTTGTCCAGGGAGAATAAAGTAATCCGGAGCAAATTTAAAGCGATAGTTCAAGGTTTAAAGTTAAATGCCCAGGAAACAAAACAAATGACGACGTCGTTTTCATCGTTAGTTATCCACATTGTTCTGCAAGGAACACATACGGGGCTTGTTGGCAGTGAAAACTGTCGCCTTCCAGGTGAACAACTACAGCCTTGCTTCTAACTTTTTGACCAAAGGGAAACTGTTGTATTCAGGGAATTTATTTTGAAGGAGGGAAAGTTTCAAATCGAAGCCTTTTTCTCATCAAAAATCCAAAAACATTTTTTGTGATTCGATAAAACAAATTAGGTTTGGGTTGCACTCACCGTCACATTGGTATTCTCCACCTCAATGTGGTGCATAACACCGCGTCCGTTTCCACCAAAATACGTGGCGCATGTACTTCCACTGGTGCCGTAGTCTCCGCTAGTTGATTCATACGAACTATCGCTTCGTTTATCCTCTTTCCTGTTGATTACCACCCGGCCCGAGAGAATTTCACGTTCAACAACACTTGGAGAATGCACCTTATTGTCGTCCTCGGTGTTCGACTCGGTTGTTGTGGTTGTATCTGTAGTGGTCGCGGTTGTTGTGGCCGTTGTGTTACTGTTAGTTGGCGGTGTCGGACTGATCGGACGTCGGGAAGGATCGGCGCGCGATGGTCGAATCCGCGATGCACGAATGGCCGAGCGTTGTCTGGCTTTTGCCTCTCTCAAGTAGGCTAGATTCGATGTCCTTGCCACATAGTCAGAAAAGTCCAATTCCACTTGATGACGATAATGTTGAACTTCACGAATCTAGATAGTTGGTGAATTTGTCAGTCATTCTGGGTAACTTAAAAATCTGAGGGTGATGATCACATTCTGTATTAAATCGATATGTTTTAGACCTGCTAAACAATTAGTATGGTGTGACCGCCAACAAAAGTAACGGATTAAAGGGTAGACGTAACATTTTTCTAACAATAAGAACTTGTATCTGTAAATAAGCCTCAGGACTTTGCCTGAGTTGAAACAAATCTACCCGTCAACACAAACAGACATTCACGATTTGGCTACCAAATTCTATTTGAGTAGCTATTATTCAGGTTCATTCAAAAATAACAGTTGTTCAACGTGTCGAATTACAAATAACTAGAATCGTGGAAAAATAGGGTTTCCTGGGGATACCCCATGTTACGAGTACTGTGTTACTGTGTTAATCTGCCTCACATGAAAAGCAATAACGCAGTTGGACAGCATATATGCTGGGTATCTGTACGATTACAGTGACTTGTTTGCAAGTATGTTGTCCTTTCAGCAAAAAATAACTGAGCGTTAGGATGTGTATCCATCGGTAAATATCGTGCACTAAATTACCCCATAAAAAATCGACGGTGGTCGCCTCCGAAAGCCTCAGTGTGGTCGGGGGATTGGTTTTTTGAGGGTATGAAAACCCTAATCAGCAGTCTGGGTCACACAAGTCTCGTTAGGCTCCCTGGATGGGCACTTCAGGATGATAGTANGTAACCGATGGTTAGAGACACGGAGTGATATCGCTGGGTGTCGTAAACAGTGGCGTTCGTGCATTGTCTCAATTTCTCCGTATCATTAGTCCACCAAAACTTTTCAATTTTCTCTTCGATCCTACTTTCAACCTTTCCTGTCTTTCTCCTATTGTTCATCCAAATGGGCAGCCGAGAGATAGCAACCAAAACCGGCGCACGATAGTGCATGGTTATTGGTTGTAAAAAACTGAAATTTCTTGAGTTATGGCTGGAAGCCGTTCCTTTGCATCTCGAGGAATACTCCTATGCGACCAAGCGTCTCAAATAGCCTCTGCTGAGGAAGCCCTACCCACTGCTTTCCCGTGGTGGAAAAGTTTTCCACTTAAAATGGGAGGACGAAAAGCGAACATCCGGGGCTTTAACCGGGTTGGTGAACCACTGGCGGAACGTTCTCCTTTACGGTTGCGAGACTTTACCCCTCCGAGCCGAGGATGCT